AAAAAAAAAAAAAAAGTCTAAGGGCTGGAATCTGACAGGGCAGCCATGTCCAATGAAGACAACAGTGTGATAAGGCTATTAGGGGATGTAAAGGAGAGACTTTGACCAAACATTCCCTTTTTCACACTTTAGCCTCCTTCAGTCCCTAAATGAAACCTAACTAGCATATTCCCTGAGGGTTCAGGGGAACAGAATACTCAGCTTCACTCACTCCAGTGGCTTCCAGTTGCTTCTCCAGCTCCTGGCACCAGCTCCGGTACTGCGACACCTGATGTAAAGAGAGCAAGCCCCGGGCAATGGACACAGCTGGCACGAACGGCCCAAGCCAAAGGCCCTGAGGACCTCAGGCAAACCTGCTGTGAACCAGGGAACTGGGTGGTGATAGTGAGGTAAAGCTCGTAACATCTTACAGTTTCTATTTGGGCATTTAAATAATACTTTCTATATGCCTCTTGTATAGGTGAGGCAAGATTTAAGATCTACAAAACCTAGGGTTAGGCCTTAGCTCTAGATTAGGTGAGCAAACCTGGACAACTAACTTAACCCTCATAAATGTTATCTTTAAAATAAATATGATACATACCTCCTGGAGTACTTGTGAACCTTAAAGCAGGTATGAAACCTGGGCAGGGTGGGCCCTATCTGACCAAGCTAGATGTGGGCCATTCCCCTGACATGGCTCTGCCTCCCACAACCCTTACCCACCTCAGTACCCAGCTCTAGGATTTGTTTTCTCTTCCCCTCGCTAAAAGGGGAGGTGCCTCACCTTGGCCTGTAGCTTCCTCACAAGGGTTGCTTGCTTCTGCTGGGCCTCTTGGGAGTTCTTCAGCTTCCGCCAGGAGGCTGCCTGATTCTCTGCCATCTGCTGCTGTAGTGCTAGCACTTGCTCCTCCAGCACTAGCTGCAGTGACTGGGACTTCATGTTGTTCAACCCAGGGCTTCCTGCTTCCATGGGAGCACCAGATAGTAAGCCCACAGGTCCCTATGTAGCCAGAGGCTGTTCACTCCCAGCAGTCTCTAAGCATCGCCATGTCACTTCAACCTCCTCTTGAGCTAGAGACCAAAGCACATAGTGAAATTAAAGGACTGTCTAAATGACTAAAATTTATTCAGCAAATATTTACTAAGTCTGATGAAGGTGGGTTAGAAAAAGTAAATATGATTCTTTATTATAAGACTCCTTGAAACCTTTAAAATAAGATGGACCCTGATCTCTAAAAAGGGGGCTATGATGAGCATCATTTCCTAAACTGACCATGACAAAAGCTCATGAGACTAGTGTTTCCTGAGTGCCTGCTGGAACTCTGAACTAAACCAAGAGCTCCTGGTCTATCAATACATCCCTAGTGCCTGGCACAGTGCACCATAAACATATGTGGAATGAATCATTGAAAATGTTCTGGGCTCGGCGCCTGTGGTTCAAGCGGCTAAGGCGCCCGCCACATACACCTAAGGTAGCGGGTTCGAATCCAGCCCGGGCC